TTCTACATAATGCAAAAACTCGGTCCCCCACAAAACCCGAACCCTAGCCTCTCGCCCATGAAGCGTCACGCTTACCACTACACCAAGCCGCCGTTGACGAGTGAGCTGCTCCCATGTAATTTACGTTTTCTCATGTAATGTCACATAAAACCACCCTCATAACTCCGTTCAGAGGATCGCTTGGCAGATTTGGAAAGCGGATTTGAATTCAGCGCCCAAAACCACGTCCAGCAGTATAGGTCTTATTTCAAATGGCCACTTCGAGTTGGGATCCTTCCCTGGTAAGTCATTGCCCCCTTGGTCAACCGCTCTAATCCAGATTTCAAGCAGTGATCTGTTTCAAAAATGGTTCCTGTGGCTTGCTTAACTCGTTCTGTTGATGTGGACCGTGCCTTGGAGAACAAAACTTTCGATAAGGGAGGGTCTTTGAATAGTTATAGAAAAAAGAGACTGAAATCGGGATCTGTGGGTAACCGAACCTCGAAAGAAACCTTGATTCTTAGTCACGAGCTTTTTTTCGTTCGAAATGCAATCAAGTGATGATACCAGGAAAAACATGAGTCATCTGTCAGATTATATCCCTCATCATCCTGCAGATGTGGCTGTGCATAGCGACGCTGGCTTAGCTTTGAAGCCTTGATTCTGGACAATAGCTTGTTCTTTTGTGGTGCCTGACTTTAGAGAACGATGTTTCCCAATTCGGCCGGCCCCAGTCCTTACCTTGTTTTCCTGTAAACTTGATGAACTTGAACCTCTACAGTCAAAGAAAATCCCGTTAGTAATGTGAGCAGTCGAGATTGACCGGTATCGATTAAACATTTTCGCAAAAATACCTCCTCGTGACGCCAACCGCAAAAATAATTTTAAATGCTTTGAAGGGAGGAAGAAGGGGTAATATTGTGAAATTTGTGAGGGAGAAACACGCACCCAGGAAACCCACAAACAACATCGAGCCGCAGTTTCAGTGGGAATTGCGTGATTCTCTGGTTCTAGAACTGAATTGACGAAATTCCTTACGTTACAGCATAAAAATCACACCTCTGCGACTCAAGGCAGATTTCCTCGCAAAATTACCTAGTCAACCCACTCCCTTCATTCATGCTCCGTGCTCTAAGAGTGACTTTACTATGTTTTCTGCCCCCACCCCTGTACGACCCCATGCCATTTAACTTTCTTTTCAGACGTGTGCCGGCCTTGATACTCGCCAATAAGCAAGACGTGGTATCATCGGCTCCAACGTCAGGGATTTTAAAACGTTTGAAGCTAACCGAGATCCGCGATCGCGTATGGCAAATTCAAGGTTGCTCGGCGTAGACCAATGAAGGTGTCTCCGAAGGAATCAACTGGGTCGCCAAAACTATTAAATCTAAATGAATTGTGATCGTTCAAATTGGTTTTCAATAATTTGCTGGCTTTCATGCACACCTCTAAGCTTACAGACAAAGTAACGTTGCGTAGAGATTAAATGATTTCCGCCACCATCCAGGTATGCCATTTCAATCTTTTCACCTGACAACCATAGACTCTTATAAGATCTGTCTATATTTTAGACAATGAAAAGCTCGTATCCACGCACCGAGGAAAAGTTCAAGGAAGAAGTCGAAAAGGCGAGTGTTCTGTTCAAATTACGAGATCAATTTTCATTCTTATGGCTTAAAGGCACGGTTCACAAGAAAATGATTTTTGAGATTTCTCAACAGTATGAATTCGAAGCTTCCCTTATACCATACATGCCGTTATAAGGTCGTAAAACGAACTGGATTGGACACAATGAGGGTCAGAGATTGTATCGTCCGAATGCAACACCCATAATGGACGACTTTCAATTGCTTGGTAGAGGCTGCACTAATTCAAGAGACTTCCTTGTAGGAAGTTCTAACAACTTGTCATAACCCATGGAGACAATGAAAGGCGGTTTCGGACAATTTCGACTGAGGTAATCATCTCTTTGAGCAAGGGGAGCAAGTTAAATCTCGTCCAACACCCCTTACATGCTATTACCGTCACGGTTATCTCTTACAAGCTTCTTTTCCACTACTTTCAAAAAGCCTTGAAGTAGGCGGATTACTCGCTTCCTTCGCCACCAATGGACTCTTCTACATTGAGACCTTCCTTTTTCAACCTAAAAAGTGTTCTTCAAAATTATCGTGAACTGTCCCTTCAAGTATTCATGCATGCATAATGTCACTTTTTTGTTTTGTTTTATCATTAAACAGTCCACGACTCGGGTTAGTGGAGCTCCTAGTTTGTTAGTGAATTTTCTATGAAGTTTGAGCGGAGCAACTGATTTCTGGCGCGAAATTGAATAGATTGGAATTTTGTTTTACTCCACTTTGCTTCACAAAATTATACCCAATGAGCTCACCATTTTTGTGTTGAATGTAAAGCTTACGATAGTCCCTAGGTACATATCTAGCTCAAGGAAATAGCGAGGATAGTGAAAATGGCGAAGGAGGCGCGGAAATCGACGGGATTTAAGCAATTACGTGTGCTTGTGTATGTAATCGCCCAGGTGTCTCCCACAGAAGCGTACTATTCGTCGGCGTCCCAACATTATAAATAGTGCAGTTTTAAACTCAGAAAACTTTTCTGTCGTTAACTAAAACTCTTGAATATCTTTTTTTTTACACTGTTTTGCCGTACAGGTTTGTTATGAAGAAACCGC